AATAAAGCAGATTGGATTAAATTCAGATTTTTAAGTCAAATAAAATTAGAAAAAGTGGATATGGAAATGAATATAGATGAAATAAATTTAAAAATTTGTGAGATAATCTTGGAAGCAGCAGATAAATCTATGAAGAAAATAGGGTGTAAAATTATAAGAAAATAGTACCATGGTGGACAAATGAATGTAAAGAAGCAATAAAAGTAAGAAACAAAGCATTTAAGGTATTAAGAGGTAATTCAAAATATGAGAATTTAATTGATTATAAAAGAAAGCAAGCAATAGTAAGGAGAATAATTAAGAATGCAAAAGAGAATATTGGAAAAATTTTGTAGCACAATAGGGAAGGAAACAAAAATAGAAAAAATTTGGAGAATGATTAGAAGAATGAATGGCATTAAAAGAGAATTTGAATATCCTATATTAAAAGTAGATAATATAAATATAATTAAAGATGAAGATAAAGCAGAAATATTGGCAAGAACATTCAGTAAAATCCACAGTTCAGATAATATTAGTGAGGAGGGAAGAAAAGGAAGAGAAAATACAAAAACTCAAATATAAAGATGTGTTGCAGAATGAAGAAGAAGCAAATAACTTGTTAAATGTTGAATTTACAAAAGCTGAATTGAACTCTTCATTTACAAAACTTAAAAATACAGCACCAGGTAAAGATAAAATATGGTATAGAATGATAAGTCAGCTCAGTGAAAAATCTAAAGAGATAATATTGAAATTATATAATAAAATTTGGGAGGAGGGGAAATTACCAATGGAATGGAAAGAATCAATTATAGTACCAATAGCTAAACCAGGGAAAGATAAATCAAAACCAGAAAATTATAGGCCAATAGCTTTAACATCAAACTTATGTAAAATAATAGAAAAAATGATTAACAATAGACTAGTATATTATTTAAATAGTAAGGGGTATATAGTAAATTATCAAAGTGGATTTCGAAAAGGGAGGAGAACTAATGATCCAACAATATGTCTAGAGCATGAAATTAGAAACAAGTAAATAAAGAAAATGTGGTGGCAATATTTTTTGATATAGAAAAAGCGTATGATATGATGTGGGTAGAGGGATTATTAATTAAATTATATAGGTTGGGCATTAAAGGAAAGATATTTCAATGGATTAAAGACTTTTTACTAAATAGGAAAATTCAAGTTAGAATCGGTGAAGTAACATCAGGAGTATATAGAGTAGAAAATGGAACACCACAGGGGAGTATAATAAGTCCCTTATTGTTCTCTATTATGATAAATGATATTTTTAAAGGTATTGATAAAGAAATGGGATGTTCACTCTTTGCGGATGATGGAGCGGTTTGGAAAAGAGGGAAAAATTTAGGTTTTATTGTTAAAAAATTACAAGATGTTATTAATGAGCTAGAGATGGGCATGGCAATGGGGATTTAAGTTTTCAGTTGAAAAAACAAAAGTAATGGTATTTACTAGGAAAAAAATAAACAGGGAAGTAAAATTAAAATTATATAGTCAAGAATTAGAGCAAGTAAAGTGTATAAAATTTTTAGGAGTATGGTTTGATGATAAACTAAAATGGAATGTACATATTCAGAAAGTTGTCGATAAAAGTAAGAAAATCTTAAATATTTTGAGATGCTTGGCTGGCAGTGATTGGGGAGCAGATAGACAATCTTTGAGACAGTTTTATACAGGTATGATAAGAGCTAACATAGATTTTGGTTGTATTGTTTACGGTTCAGCAGCGAAAGTACATTTGGTTAAATTAGATGTAATACAACATCAAGCATTAAGATTATGTTCTGGAGCATTTAAAACCACACCAAGAGCAGCAATGGAAGTAGAGATGGGAGAAATGCCATTAGATTTAAGAAGAATAAGATTGGAAATAAATTACTGGTTAAATTTACAAAGCAATAATTTTGATCATCCGGCTAGGGAAATTTTAAAACCATGTTGGGAAAAAGAAACAAAAGAAATGGGGAGTCTTGGATGGACAATTGAAAACAAAATAAAAGAATTTAACATGAGTAGTCTGGAAATTAGTCATACAACACCAACATCAGTAATACCACTATGGATTCTACCAGAAGCAACAGTAGATATGACAATAATGGAAAAGAAACAGGATAAATCTTTCATCATTGATAGTAGTTCAGTACAGGTGCATTTAAAGAATTATTATCATTATATTCAAATCTATACAGATGCATCAAAAATAACTGGAAAAGTAGGTATAGCGTTTGTAGAACCAGAATTCAATATAAGAATAGAAAAACAAATTACAGACGGATTATCAGTGTACACAGGAGAAATGATGGCAATTCTATTGTCTTTACAATGGGTAGAAGAGATAAAACCATTAAAAACAATAATCTGTTCAGATTCAAGATCTGCATTATTAAGTATTAAAAACAAGCAATCGGATAGTAGAATGGACATTTTATTAGAAATATTTCACACATTATATAGAATCAAAAATATGGGGTGATAGTTAATTTTGTTTGGGTTCCAGCACATATTGGAATAGAAGGAAATGAGAGGGCAGATAAATTAGCAAAAGGGGCAATTCAAAATCCAATTAGCATTAAAGTTAAAACAAGTAAAGCTGAAGGAAAGAGTATAGTTAAGGAAAAACTGACGGAAAAATGGCAGGAAAGGTGGGATGAAGAAATAACAGGAAGATGGTTTATAAGATTCAGAAGATGGTAGGAGAAAGAAGAAAGGGAAGAAGAAATAGAAAAAAGGAAAGAGTGATAACAAGGATAAGATTTGGGCATACAGGACTTAACTAATCACTTTTTAGAATTCAAAAGCATGCAACTGGTAAATGTGAGTATTGTGGAGAATGGGAAACAGTAGAACATGTTATTCTAGAATGTGATAAATATGAAAGAGAGAGGAGATATGAAGAAAGATTTTGAAAGTATTAAGGAAAAATTTAATTTAATAGATATTTTGAGGAAGAGTTTTGAGAGCAAACATATACAAATAGTTATTCGATTTTTAAAGAAAACTAAGATATTCAGTAGAATTTGATAGAGTAGACATAAGAGATAATGTATGGATGATAGTGATGAGTAGAATATAAATATGGATGTAAGTATGTATGTGTAGGTATAAATATAAATATGTTTTTTCTTTTTGTGTGTAGGTGTATGTATGAATATATATAGGTATATATATACAGAGAGAGCGTTAGACCAACACGAGCCACACTCCATACCAGTAAGTGGCGGTAATGCTACTCTGAGTTTGTTGCCAACCGCCAATAAACACAACAAGAAGAAGAAGAAGAAAGGGAGGAACCGCGCGAAAAGAAGAGAAACGTGGCAGAGTTTAGAGAACGTGTTTTATCCATGTTTAGACTTTCAGTTGGACAGTCGCTGAATGTATATTAACACTGTATTCTGTTTAGCCGCTGCTGTGACGGTTCCAGACCGGAGCTCACTGTATCGTAGGTGTAACGCTCGCTGCCGCATCGATGTTCACTAGCACAGTGAATAGCTATTGAGGACGGTAAGCTAACACAGCTAACGGACACTTTAACTAAGGTTTCCGTCGTGGAAGCTTTAGCCAAGCTGAGCCTGGAGCAGCGGGTGGTGGGTATGCTAGGAATCCGTGGCGGGACTGAAGGACTGGATCTGCGTTGGCCTCCTCTATCATTCCTGGACCCTGTGGACTGCCGGACTGGTTGGGGAGCGGAGGACATCTTGCTGGACTGGTTGGGGAGCGGAGGACATCTTGCCGGACTGGTTGGGGAGCGGAGGACATCTTGCCGGACTGGTTGGGGAGCGGAGGACATCTTGCCGGACTGGTTGGGGAGCGGAGGACATCTTGCCGGACTGGATCTGCGGACATCTTGGTGGCTGGAGCTGAGGACGGGTGAGGTGCCGAGGGGGTTTGGGTCTTCACCTGGACCGGGTGCCAAGGCTCAAGCTTCAACGACACATCAGGCCTGCAACGGGTTTTTGTTTGTTTGTTGGGACTACATCTAGTTATTTAATGCCGGCTTTAGCTGAACATTAAAGTGTGGGCCCACATTTATTATTATAGGGTGAAACTAAACAAAAGTTAAGTATTCGCATTTTGTGCATTTGTTAATGTGTTTAATGTTCAACTCTAATTCAAGTGTGTGTTTGATTTATTATAGAACTGTATTTGGAGTATATTATTCCTATTCAAGTCTATATTATTTAGTGAGAAGGAAAGGAAAGTACTAGTGTGTCATTACTCCAAGGTGAGTGAAACTCAACAAAAGGTTAAACATGAGAGTGTAATAGTCATTATTTGTAATTTAATGAGTTTAGTGAACTCAGGGGCCTTTACCTACGTTAGTATAAACTGGGCTACATTGGGAAATCGGCCAACGATCCTTAAACCAACCAGACCTAAAACTCACATCTCCTCTCGACCTCTGACCTCACTCTCTCTGACTCTGGTCGCTATGGTAACGGTTATATATCCCTTCAAAATAAGATGCAGATGCACTACAAAACCAACATTTTAACTCAGGATATCGACTGATGGACCCTGAGCTGTTTCTCCTGCTGGAGACGCTGAAGCGATGCTCAGGGAGACACTGGGTCTCCATGGTGATCTGGTCACCTGACCATGCAGAGCAGCTTGGACTGTGGGAATCAACCCACCGGGACAAACCCATCCTCCTGCCTCTCTGGGCCTGCAGACAAACTTTCCAAAGAATCTGATCTGGTTCTGTTCGTTTTGCTGCTTGTGGATCAATGTTGGCGCCAAAACGCCACCGAGAGAATCCAGTAAAGGATTTTCAAAATAAAAGATCCTCCAGACTCAGATAATACATAAGATGTAAAAATATTTTATTATTTTTGCGCGGCCCGGTACCAACTGGTCCACGGACCGCAGGTTGGAGGCCACTGGTCTAAAGATGAAGGAAAAAGCTAAAGGCCAAAAATCATCACAACACTTGAAGAATGAATCAAACAGTGAGGAAAATAGAGCCGAATCAGCATGAAGACATCTGGACTCACCGAGCCTTTCTGCAGTTCCTCACAACTGGAACCAGTCTCAGTCGTCCTGATTCTGATGTGTTGTACTTCTCCAGGTCCAACTCATCCAGAACCTCTGACATCTGCAGCATGAAGGACAGAGCTGAACACTGGATCATAGACAGATTCTTCTTCGATCTGTTTGCAGATTTCAGGAACTCTTGGATCTCCTGATCAACAGAGACGTCGTTCATCTCCATCAGACAGTGGAAGATGTTGACGTTTCTGTCAGGAGACGCCTTTATTCTTCCTGTCTTCAGGTTGTTGATGATTCTCTGGATGGTTTCTGGACTGTTCTCTGTCTGACCCAGAAGGCCTCCTAACAGTCTCTGGTTGGACTCCAGAATGAGGCCATGAAGGAAACGAACAAACAGGTCCAGGTGGCCATTTTTACTTCTCAGAGATTTCTCCATGGCTTTTTTCATGAAGTCCTCCAGAGATGTTTTACTGAATTTTTTTCCCAAGAACTTCTTCACTACCTCTGAGTTGCTGCTGGTGAAACAGTGGAACATGTAGACTGCAGCCAGAAACTCCTGAATGCTCAGATGAACAAAGCAGTAGACTGGTTTCTGGAAGATCAGATTCTCTCTTTTGAAGATCTCTGTACAAACTCCTGAGTACACTGAGGCCTCTGTGACATCCAGACCACACTGCTCCAGGTCTTCTTGGTAGAACATGATGTTTCCTTTCTCCAGATGTTCAAACGCCAGCCTCCCCAGCTTCAGAAGAACTTCCCTGTCAGCCTCCATCAGCTCCTGTGGACTTGTCTCATGTCCTCCATGGTACTTGTTGTTCTTCCTCTTTGTCTGGACCAGCAGGAAGTGTGAGTACATGTCAGTCATGGTCTTGGGCAGCTCTCCTCTCTGCTCTGAGGTCACCATGTTCTCCAGAACTGTAGCAGTGATCCAGCAGAAGACTGGGATTCCACACATGATGTGGAGGCTCCTGGAGGTCTTGATGTGGGAGATGATTCTGCTGGACAGCTCTTCATCACTGAACCTCTTCCTGAAGTACTCCTCCTTCTGGGTGTCGCTGAAGCCTCGTACCTCTGTCACCCTGGTAACACATGAAGGAGGGATCTGATTGGCCGCTGCAGGTCTGGAAGTTATCCAGATGAGAGCCGAGGGAAGCAGGTTCCCCTTGATGAGGTTTGTCAGCAGAACGTTGACTGATGATTTCTGTGTGACGTCAGAAACCAGCTGACTGCTGCTGAAGTCCAGTGAAAGTCTGCTTTCATCCAGGCCATCAAAGATGAAGAGGAGTTTGCAGCCAGCCAGCTGCTCTGCTGGGAGCTTCTGGAGTGTTGGATGGAAAACATGGAGCAGGGAGAGAAGACTGTGCTGCTGATCTCTGATCAAGTTCAGCTCCCTGAACGAAAGCAGAACCACCACACTGACATCTTGGTTCTCCAAGCCCTCTGCCCAGTCCAGAGTGAACTTCTGCACTGAGAAGGTTTTTCCAACACCAGCGACGCCGTTGGTCAGAACCACTCTGATGGCTCCATGTTGGTCAGGGAAGGTTTTAAAGATGTCATGGCACCTGATTGGAGAGTCATGGAGGTTCTGGATCTTGGCAGCTCTCTCCAGCTGCTTCACCTCATGCTGGGTATTAACCTCTTCACTTTGTCCCTCTGTGATGTAGAGATCAGTGTAGATCCTGTTGAGGAGGGTCCTACTTCCTGTTTCATCACTTCCTTCAGTCACACATTCACATCTCCTCCTCAGACTGATTTTATGTTCCTGAAGAACCTGCTGCAGAACAACATCTGCTGAAATAAAGAAGAAAAAAACAACTGAACTAAGAAAAACATGATTTATTGTGATTAAGTTGGATCCAAACCATGTTGAACATTGAGAGGTGTTATTATAATAAGGTCTCTGACTTCATAGGATGTGATGCTAAACAACTGGATCCATCAGATCGTTTAGCATCGGATCAATCTGATGGATTGCTAAACAGATCAAAATCTGCTCTCTATTCTATCGTCAGACAACAGATTTCGGTTTTGTGGGTTTTTTCCATTCACTGTCAGGATCTGATTCACAAATCAGATGAGATGAATAAATGGTGACAGAAACACAATAAATGCAGCAACTTTAAGTAACATCAACTCTTCTGCATCATGTCCTCATTTGATGTTTCTATCTGACTATGTGACTGATTTGGTCTTTTAGAAGTAGATTTTTTTAAGTATTACATTTCACATGTAAATATGTAGATTATAATCTGAGATTTATTATCAAAGTAGACTTATCAAAGTAGACTTATCAAAGTTTACTTTATAGTAAAGTGAAGTAGTTGTTGGGTTCCTGCTGGTGAAACAGTGGAACATGTAGACTGCAGCCAGAAACTCCTGAATGCTCAGATGAACAAAGCAGTAGACTGGTTTCTGGAAGATCAGATTCTCTCTTTTGAAGATCTCTGTACAAACTCCTGAGTACACTGAGGCCTCTGTGACATCCAGACCACACTGCTCCAGGTCTTCTTGGTAGAACATGATGTTTCCTTTCTCCAGATGAACACCTTTGATCCATTTACAGCTGGAACAGATTTACCTGGAATAATTGATCACTGAAAGACTTTAAAACCTTGAATTTCCAAATCCCAACTAAAGACGTTGAATTGGTTCAACAGACGACAGAAGGAAGCTCTGATTGGAGGAGTTCAGTCTCACCTGGAGCACAGCTGCTCTGATTGGCTGTCAGCAGTCCAGCTGCTGTTTTGGGTCTTTTTCCACACTGGGGGCAGGAGGAGGGTCCAGATGGAGCAGACTGGTCCCAGTAGGACCTGATGCAGTGTCTGCAGAACCAGTGTCCACAGCTGGTAGAGACCGGATCCATCAGAACCTCCTGACACAAAGCACAGCAGGACGGCTGCTCTTCCTCACCAACGCTGCTCCTCTTCCTCCCTCTGTGAAGACATTTCTTCATCACTGCAATAGTTCACTAACAACAGGCTTTGTAGTGAAGATGAAGATATTAGTGAAAGTCCAACACAACCAGTAAAATTATAGTAATTAGAGATATAATCAGTATTTATTATTTTGGGAATGAGACACAGCGCTGTCAATCATCCTCATGTAAAGGCAACCATTGATCCGCCTACATCAAAAGCCATGCTAACTAGCTTTAGCATTCATGAAAGGCTCTGCAGCATAGCAGAGGATAAGTAAAGGACTGCAAGAGCAGGATGAGCAGCGCCACACTGAGGGTGACTGACAGCTGTAAGACCCGCCTCCTGTCTCTGATTGGTTGTTTCTAGTTAACGCTGGGAGAAGGCAGAGACCGTCTTTTTCTATCACGTCGTCACAACAACATGAGTTTTATATGTAAAAAATTATTTATAAAAGTTAAATATCCTCCTGACAAAAGAAAAAAAGAGTCTTTCACTTTCTGTATTTATGTGATTTCCTATCTATTTAGGGCAAAATGAACATCTAAAAGCTGCAGGGGGTCTGGAGTTGCTCCCCCTAAACCAACATACAAGTTAATCCAGGCCCACCAAGCCCAGCTGTCTCTCTGCTCTGGCGGCGCGTTCACATGAAACGTGTTTCGGTTTACATTCAAAGTCCACTTGGAGCGTTTTGAGAGTCTGGTGCAGCGCGATCTGAACTGTGTGGAGGGTTTTTATAACATTACATAGACTTTGATTGTGAACCAGAAGCACCTGAGGCTAAAAACGTGTTTGGTGTGAACGCACCATGAGTCTGTCTCTTCCTCAGATTGTTCTGGATCTTGTTTTTCTCCTTCTGCTCCCAGAACACAGGCTGATACTCATCTGACAACTCCAGATCTGAATCTTGTATAGAATCCTTTCTGTTTCACTTCTCTCTCCTACAACAGTGTGGAGTCATTAAATACACTGAAATGGTCCTGGTCTCCATGACAGTTGACATTCATAATGTTGGACAAACAGGAGCTTCTGGACATTTGGACTCATCACAGAGATCTTCAGAACACCGCAGGATGCTACCTCAGAGGCCGAGAACAAAAACAAAGGTGGGGAAGGCGAGGAGGGCAACAAGCTAAGCTAAAACTTACCCACCACTGGCCTCACCAAGGTCCGGCCCGGTCACACAAAATGGACAAAATGTGTTTCTCCATCATCAATAACCGATGGATTATGAAGTCAAATGTCATAATTTTCACTGAAACATGGCTGAACAACAGCAGCTTGAACAATGCTAACGAGTTAGCAGGACGCTACACACACAGGATAGCAGAGGTCTCTGGTTTGTGCACAGACTCTGTTGCTACCGAGGGACACTGATCACCCAACGTGGCGTTTATAATGGTCAAATGCAGATGATTCTCTCCCTAGAGAAACTCTCTTCCATCATTCTCACTGCAGTGAACATCCCCCAGGATGCTAATGCTAAACTGGCTATGAAACAGCTTCATGCAGCCATTAGCAAACAGCTGACCAAACATCCTGAGGCTACATCTCCACCACCATTGACAGCGACACCCAGAAACAGATCATCATGGACCCCAACTAGAAGCCACCGATGTAGGAACGGCACAGAGAAAGGTCAAAGGTCACAAGTCTGCAGGCCCTGCAGACACCGAAACACTACTTCCTGCCACAGAAAACTACAGGAAGTGGTGTCATCACAGACTCCAGTCACCCAGCATAGAGACTCTCATGCCCTCTGGGAGGCGCTACAGACATCACCTAATACATGTGTTTGGCTTAGAATGCTAGCTAATGCTCTGGGCTTCGTTTAGCCTGCTAGCTAGTGCGCTGGGCATTACTTCTGCTAGCTAGTGCGCTAGACATTAGTTAGGCATATAGCTAGTGTGCTAATCTTTACTGGTTTTGTTCCATAATGCACTGGGCTTTACTGGGCTGCTAGCTAATACATGTGTTTGGCGTAGAATGCTAGCTAATGCTCTGGGCTTCGTTTAGCCTGCTAGCTAAATAGCTGGGCTTTACCGGGTTGCTAAGTGACATTCAGTGCCTGCTGACTTGTACGCTACATTCTGGAAGGATTGGAAACGGCTCATCTTAAAAACAACAAAAACTTTAACTTCCAGATGAAATGGGCTGGGTTGTGTTTTTAAGTGCCTGGGTTGTTTTTAATAGACGCAGAAACCCAAATGGAAATACATATTGTGATAAATATGAACTTTGCATAAAGTCCCGTTTAAAGGTGAATTCTCATCAGCAGCAGCCTGACACAGGACTACATGAAACGTGCTGTGCAACATTTCTCTGATTTATATTGATGTTTGACAGCATTTTCAGTTACGTTTTTGGGTTAATGCTAATATTTCTGGTTAACAGACATCTTACCTTGGGTCTGAGAATCCAGGAGGATTACTGAAGTAAAAAGGAAGATCTATGGATCGGTCACTCTTCATAGAAACGCCGCTGGGTGATGGAGAGGCTGCTCTGTTCTCCTCTGGATTCATCATCAGCTTCCTCTGCTGTGAAGCCCATCTGAGAGGGAACCAGAGACACTCAGTCACCATGGGATTCACTTCCAGTTCACCCAGTTGGCTGCTCTAGAAACTGGCCAGTAGGACAGGAAGACCATCATCTCCTGGTTGAATGAAACACGTCCTGCTGGTTCGTCACTGTCTGCAGAATCTCATCACTTCAATGTGTCCTTGATCTAAAGTTAACATCTGAATGGAAGCTGCTGGCGTCCAGAGAGCCAGGTGACCTCTGATGGACCAGGGTGACCTCTGATGGAACAGGGTGACCTCTGATGGAGCAGGGTGACCTCTGATGGAACAGGGTGACCTTTGATGGAGCAAGGCGACCTCTGATGGATCAGGGCGACCTCTGATGGAACAGGGTGACATGTGATGGATCCGGGTGACCTCTGATGGAACAGGGTGACCTCTGATGGATCAGGGTGACCTCTGATGGAGCAGAGTGACCTCTGATGGAGCAGGGCGACCTCTGATGGACCAGGGTGACCTCTGATGGATCAGGGCGACCTCTGATGGAACAGGGTGACCTCTGATGGAACAGAGTGACCTCTGATGGATCAGGGCGACCTCTGATGGAGCAGGGTGACCTCTGATGGACCAGGGTGACCTTTGATGGAGCAAGGCGACCTCTGATGGATCAGGGCGACCTCTGATGGATCAGGGCGACCTCTGATGGATCAGGGTGACCTCTGATGGAACAGGGTGACCTGTGATGGATCCGGGTGACCTCTGATGGAACAGGGTGACCTCTGATGGATCAGGGTGACCTCTGATGGAACAGAGTGACCTCTGATGGAGCAGGGCGACCTCTGATGGAACAGGGTGACCTTTGATGGATCAGGGTGACCTCTGATGGACCAGGGTGACCTCTGATGGATCAGGGCGACCTCTGATGGAACAGGGTGACCTCTGATGGAACAGAGTGACCTCTGATGGATCAGGGCGACCTCTGATGGAACAGGGTGACCTTTGATGGATCAGGGTGACCTCTGATGGACCAGGGTGACCTCTGATGGAACAGGGTGACCTCTGATGGATCAGGGTGACCTCTGATGGAACAGAGTGACCTCTGATGGAGCAGGGCGACCTCTGATGGAACAGGGTGACCTTTGATGGATCAGGGTGACCTCTGATGGACCAGGGTGACCTCTGATGGAACAGGGTGACCTCTGATGGATCAGGGTGACCTCTGATGTAAAAGGGTCACATGGGTCTGTGGCCTAGTCAAAACATGGTCATTACACTTTTTGCTAAAATAACTCTTATGTAATTAGTTTCCATTTGCTCACTTCTGCCCATTTTGAGCTGAAGATGTTTTAGGGTCTCTGTCACTTTAAATCCAAACTAGCTGCTTCTGGCCACGCCCCCAATGCAGCATGTACAGGGAAATGGCTGCAAACACATGTGCAAATGTACAAGAGTGCAAAGCAAAAGAAAAGCCTCCTGAACCACCAACAGGATGCAGCAAGTGGTTCCTGGATGGCAAGTCAAATAAAAGTCTTGTCTATTTCAGCAGCCATTGTACAGCAGAAAAACCAGCTGACAAAACATGCTGGACCTAAGCTTAGGCTGCTAGCTAGCGCGTTGGACATTGCTTATGTTGATAGCTAGATCATGGGCATTGCTTCGGTTGCTAGCTAGCGACTTGGACATTGCTTAAGTTGCTAGCTAGCGCTCTAGGCATTACTTTTGCTGCTAGCTAGTGCGCTGGGCAATGCTTAAGTTGCAAGCTAGCATGCTGGACATTAGTTAGGCATATAGCTAGTGTGCTAATCTTTACTGGTTTTGTTCCATAATGCACTGGGCTTTACTGGGCTGCTAGCTAATACATGTGTTTGGCGTAGAATGCTAGCTAATGCTCTGGGCTTCGTTTAGCCTGCTAGCTAAATAGCTGGGCTTTACCGGGTTGCTAAGTGACATTCAGTGCCTGCTGACTTGTACGCTACATTCTGGAAGGATTGGAAACGGCTCATCTTAAAAACAACAAAAACTTTAACTTCCAGATGAAATGGGCTGGGTTGTGTTTTTAAGTGCCTGGGTTGTTTTTAATAGACGCAGAAACCCAAATGGAAATACATATTGTGATAAATGTGAACTTTGCATAAAGTCCCGTTTAAAGGTGAATTCTCATCAGCAGCAGCCTGACACAGGACTACATGAAACGTGCTGTGCAACATTTCTCTGATTTATTGTTGGAGAAATTGTGATATTATTAATCAATTATTTGTTATTCTCATTGATCTTTATAATGTATCTTTAATTGATGCTTTCCTTAAAGTTAATCTCATTATAGAATTAAGAATGTTCCTTGTATTGTTGATTTACTCTGATTCTTTTCTCAGAAGGCCTCACTGACAGAGAGCAGAAACAAAATCTTCCTGCAGGTTTACCTCTTGGTGAAGAGCTCTGCTTCGGTTGAGTTGCTGGCCTCCAATAAAACCATCATTGCTAAGATCACTACATATTTTATTAATCTTTGTGCCTGGAAGGACATTATCTAGTACAGAATGATTGTGTGTTAGTTAGTGAATAACATTTGAAGCTGTTTGCCCCTCCCTTTAGAGCTACAGCGTCCTTGTGATTAGGGATCCTAGAAACAATAAAATAGAGGAGCAGACAAAATGTGCTTCAGAGCGGTAGGAGATTGTAACTGAAGCACATCTCTGTCCGTTCTCCTCGCCAGTGAAAAAGAATCTAACTCTTTTGTCTTTTCTGTCTTTGTTAATGTATGTTTAACAGGTGTTAACCCTAACATTTTTGGTCCTTCGAGCCGGAGGTCATATACTGGAAAGATTCCGGCAGGTGTGGCGGACCCCAGTAAGACCGTGCGCACGGCAAGAGAACCTGTTAAAGGACTGGGCTCGGCCTGCCTGCTGGGATCTGAAGGTTGACGACACTCCAGGGAAAGACAAGAGAGGGTGAGTGATTCTTCTTTAAAAAGTGGCGAATGACGTTTTAGAGAGTAAGTCATTCTTCTGTGTGAGAGAAGAGTGACTTCTTCTTTGACTGAAGGTTGTTGCGCGCACAAGTGAAAACCCTGTCAATTCTAGACTCTAACAGGTAAAAGTAATGCACAAAATCCGTGGATAGGCTAACGGAGCCTGGTGCTTCAAGGCTGGAGGCCTTGTCCTGTTCTGGGGAACCAACAATTGTACTATTGTGGGCAATGATAGCAGCCCAACTAATACTAGAAATGTTCTGGGTAATAGCAGCTCAAATAACTAATACCAGCACTGTTCTGGGTAATAACAGCAACTCAAATAACAATTGTACTATTGTGGGTAGTAATAGTAGCCCAACAAAATGCCTGCACTGTTTTGGGCAGTAACAGCAGCCCAATTACTAATTGTACTATTGTGAGCAGTAACAGCAGCTCAACTAATACCTGCAGGCTAAACGGATTGCGGAGTCCGGCGAAAACAGGCGCTTAAGTTCCGTATCAGTATGTAAGAGATAAAAAATAAAAGACAAAAAAAAAATAAAATAAACTAGAAAATAAGGGTTGGTAAACCTTACCTCGCTGGAGGTCTTGTAAAACCCTACTGGGACGAGGACTTGCAAACCTCACCTGGTTCGGGGTTTTGCAACCTCACGTGGTTTGAGATCTTACGAACCCCACCTGTTGTGGGAACGGGGCCCGACGAATACCCGTGGTTAAACGGACGGCGATAACAGGCGCTTCAAATCCGTGAAACAAAAAAAAAGTGTGTATGTGAGCGTGATTGGAGGTATAAATACCACTTGGTATTTTATCTCATGTAAAACAGTAGGATTGTGAGCAGCAAACCTCTTGTGGATGCACAGGCAAGAACTCTCCACTCGAAAGAGTTGAAGTGAGAGTTACCACAACAGGTTCTTTCAATTGCTGGCCTACTGAATCAGATCTCCAGTTTCTAGGACTCCCTAGGAGTCGGCAAAACTGGTCCAAATTTTTTTTTTAAAAAAGGGGAAATTAATAAGTAAAACTAAGCCAACAGACAGTCTAAAATCAAATAACTGGAAGGTTATTAAAGATCAGGATAAAATAAAACAAAAAAACAAATTCAAATAAAAATTGTACGAGGAAGGGTATGATGATGTACAATTAGTAGCGCAAAAAAGAGAAAGTGGGGAGAAAGAAATTACAAAAGAAAAGGAAAAGGTTCCAGGAGCCTTTTTCCAGGGTGAGGAACAAGTGTTTTATCAGGAGAGGAGAGGAAAAGAAGGCTTTAGGGGCAGAGGTCAGAACCTTAGAGGTTTAAAAGGGAGACGTGGGAGAGGAAACTACAGGCACAGTTACTCGGGGTGGTGTTGCGGGCAGGAAGGACATTTAGCCAGAAATTGCCCGAGAAAAAGAAAACAAAAAACACAGGACAGTCAGCATGATTAAGATCAGAGAAATTGGGGAGTGAAGAGGTCCAGTTAAATCTTCAGGATTTACTTTCTATGGACAGCATAAGACCTGAAATAACTCTCCTAATAAATGGCAAACCTGTAAATTTCCTCTGTGACACGGGTGCATGTAGAACAACACGTAGAGAAAACATTCTTGGGGTAAAAAAAAAAAATTTTGTGGTGAAAATGTCAAGATCAGCTACAGGAATAAAAGAAGGGGACTTCTTTGTTGTCCAGGGACAACAGGGAACTGTATTACTTTTATTCATTGGATGTGCCCAACAAACCCCACACAACACTGCACAAACACTTCTGGCAGAGGGGCATAAAGCCATTTCTGCCCTACAGGATCAAAAGTCTCCTGATGATTTGCATGTCACACTTTGGTTCAAAACAGTTCCTGGGCCTATGAAGCCAGACTCAACAAGGTCACCCCAGCCAAGATAACTGTGACCTATCTGTACACAGACACAAAACATGTGACTGATCCACACACATTGTTGAATTCTCTTAGATCAGATGCAAAAGTATTCACGGTTGTAGACATCAGTAAATGCCTTTTTCTCAATACCAGTAGAGAAAGAGAGCCAATTTTGGTTTGCTTTTACTTTTGAAGGGAAAAGATACACATACACCAGACTACTTCAAGGCTACTGTGAAAGCCCTACAATTCTCTTTCAAGTAATGAGTGCAAGTATGTCAACTTTTCAACCCCCAGGAGGGAGCCAAGTTTTGTTGTACATAGATGATGTTTTATTGGTTTCTCCAGAGAGGGAAACCTGTAAGCAAAACACTTTAGCGCTTCTGTAACATTTAGCTAAAGAGGTCATAAGGTTAACAAAATAAACTTTAACTGTGTAAACGACAAGTAAAATATTTGGGTCATAATTTGAGTGGAGGAGGACGAACCATAGCGGAGGATAGAAAAACGACAATTCTCCAAGCTCCCAAACCACAAACAAAAAAAAACAAATGATGTCCTTTTTGAGGTTGACTAACTATTGTTGAAACTGGGTGCCTAATTATGCAGAAATTGTGACAGCTCTGAATAAATTAATGTATAAAAAAGATCTTAAAAATGTCTTCTTTGTTGTGGGCGGATGAAGCAGAAGAAGCACTTTGCAAACTAAACAGGCCCTCGTGTCAAGCGCTGCGTTAGCGTTACCAGATTATCAATAAAAGAAAACCTTTTGTTCAGATGGTGGATTGTAAAGGTCATGTCATGACCTCGGTGCTAGTCTAACAGCATGGTGATAAAATGAGACCAATAGCATATTTTTCTTCAAAACTTGATAGTGTAGCGTGTGCCTTACCACATTGTGTGAGAGCTGTAGTTGCTGCTTCTATGGCAGTAGAAGTTAGAGCTCCTATAGTTCTTTTTCATCCATTAACATCAAAAGTAACACATGCAGAATTATTAAAAGAATTATTACAAGTCGTGCACCTACCAAAACAACTAGCAATCTGTAAATGTGCGGCTCACACTGCAGGGACAGATAAGGTGTCCCTAGGGAATGCTTTCGAAGACAAAATAATAATAAAAAAAAGCAGCTGAGGGAGAGATAAATGTATTACATGTGGACGTAAAAATTTAATTTATGAAAGAAACTTTAAGAGACATGCAACAATTAAGTCCTCAAAATGAAAAGGATTTATGGATAAAAAAATGGAGCAAAATTGGAAAATTATATGAAACTGAACCTATTTTACCAAGAAAAAGATGTGTATAAATGGGCTGCAATATTGAGCCATGGCGTTTCGCATGTCTCAACAGGGGGGATGTTAGGATACATCAACATTACACTACTTATGGATTTATTTCTTATTTAAAAAATTTCTGTAGGACCTGTTTGATATGTGCAAAACATAACTCTCAGGGCAATCTAAGATCACTTAGAGAAAAATTTCCTACTCTGCAATATCCATTTCAAGTAATGCATATGGACTTCATAGAATTGAATAAAAGTGAAGTATTGTTTAGAAATAATTGATGCTTTTCTAAATGGTTTGAACATTTCACTAAAAACCCAGATGCAGCAGAAAAGCCAACTTGGATACATTTAACACACTGCAAAAAGGAATTTAATTTCAAAAGTAATTGGGAAGCAAGCTCAAGACGCTCACCGACCTACAGGGCAAAGTCCAGGTTACAAAGGGGGTTAAACCAAATAGTTTTTCCGTCTCAAAACTGGTGAAGATTGTCCACAACCCTGTAGTGTCTTTAGGAGCAGAACGGACTTGCACATTAATGAAAATAACAAGTGAATATATCTTTGTTTTAATTTTGTGTTGTCATCTGGGAACAATTCACGTCACGAATAAAAATGTTTTCTTGTAGCACTGTTTACAGAATGAGGATGGGTATTCAGGTATGTTTTCCACCTAGTTCTGTTATCATTGTTTTAGTCTCCTGGGCAAGTATGACGTCGGCAAACTACAGAGATTAAACTTGATGTATGACAAATGAAGTTTTAACACTGGACTGTTCTCTCTGTGAACAATGAATTTAACCCTGTCTTTCGTGCGGATGTCTGGTGGTGGTGCAGTGGTGACAAAATTTTTAATAGATTACCTAGGAAGGTAACAGGGATGTCTGCATTAATTTCTTTATTATTGCCTGTTTCTGTTTATCCAATGACTGCTGATCATTTAATTCATGCTTTAACTGATGTTGTGCCTCAGCAGTGACGTCAGTTGCAGAAACGAGACCTGACCTGGAGGAACAATGATCCTACATACATCGATGCCATTGGTGTTCCCCGTGGTGTACCAGATGAGTATAAATTGGCCGACCAAATTGCAGCAGGATTTGAGTCCACAATTTGTTGGTGGTGTACATTAAACAAAAACGTTGACAGAATCAACTACATCCATTACAATGTACAAAAACTGGGCAACTGGACACAAGCAGGCTTCGAGGCGGTGCATGAGCAGCTGGCCGCTACATCACTGATGGCTTTCCAGAACCGTATTGCACTTGACATGGTGCTGGCTGAACGAGGGGGAGTGTGTGCAATCTTTGGTGAAGGATGCTGCACTTTTCTACCCAACAACACAGCGGCTGATGGCAGCCTGACGAAGGCCATTGAGGGGCTCCGTACCCTTAATGGTAAGCTGAAGGAGTTCTCTGGAGTGAATACTTCCAGGTGGGACGACTGGATGAATGTTTTTGGAAAGTACCGAACCCTTGTGTCCTCTGCTTTAGTGTCGATGGCAGTCTTTGCTGCCATTCTAACCTTGTGTGGATGCTGTTATATTCCTTGCCTGCGTTCTTTGTTTAATAGTCTCATCATTACAGCAATTTAGCCCATGGGGAACCAGATGATGCCGATGTATCCTTTACTAGTAAAAGATCCTGAGTCTGACAGAGAAAGCTCTGATGAGGACTCTTTTGATGTGTTTCCTGATTCTAAGTTTTGGACTGAGTATAAACCTTGAGTGTAAACATGTTTGCTTTCTTAAAAAATGAACTCCTAGTTGAAAATTGTTCGAAGTGGCTGTTTAGGAGAGATATGAGAATTAGAACAAATATTTGATAAACAGGGGGGAAATGTTGGAGAAATTGTGATATTATTAATCAATTATTTGTTATTCTCATTGATCTTTATAATGTATCTTTAATTGATGCTTTCCTTAAAGTTAATCTCATTATAGAATTAAGAATGTTTCTTGTATTGTTGATTTGCTCTGATTTCTTTCTCAGAAGGCCTCACTGACAGAGAGCAGAGACAACAATCTTCCTGCAGGTTTACCTCTTGGTGAAGAGCTCTGCTTCGGTTGAGTTGCTGGCCTCCAATAAAACCATCATTGCTAAGATCACTACATATTTTATTAATCTTTGTGCCTGGAAGGACATTATCTAGTACAGAATGATTGTGTGTTATTTAGTGAATAACATTTGACGCTGTAGCTGTTTGCCCCCTCCCTCTAGAGCTACAGCGTCCTTGTGATTAGGGATCCTAGAAACAATAAAATAGAGGAGCAGACAAAATGTGCTTCAGAGCGGCAGGAGATTGTAACTGAAGCACATCTCTGTCCGTTCTCCTCGCGAGTGAAAAAGAATCTAACTCTTTTGTCTTTTCTGTCTTTGTTAATGTATGTTTAACAGGTGTTAACCCTAACATTTATATTGATGTTTGACAGCATTTTCAGTTACGTTTTTGGGTTAATGCTAATATTTCTGGTTAACAGACGTCTTACCTTGGGTCTGAGAATCCAGGAGGATTACTGAAGTAAAAAGGAAGATCTATGGATCGGTCACTCTTCATAGAAACGCCGCTGGGTGATGGAGAGGCTGCTCTGTTCTCCTCTGGATTCACCATCAGCTTCCTCTGCTGTGAAGCCCATCTGAGAGGGAACCAGAGACACTCAGTCACCATGGGATTCACTTCCAGTTCACCCAGTTGGCTGCTCTAGAAACTGGCCAGTAGGACAGGAAGACCATCATCTCCTGGTTGAATGAAACACGTCCTGCTGGTTCCTCACTGTCTGCAGAATCTCATCACTTCAATGTGTCCTTGATCTAAAGTTAACATCTGATTGGAAGCTGCTGGCGTCCAGAGAGCCAGGTGACCTCTGATGGACCAGGGTGACCTCTGATGGACCAGGGTGACCTCTGATGGAACAGGGTAACCTCTGATGGAGCAGGGTGACCTTTGATGGAACTGGGTGACCTCTGATGGAACAGGGTGACCTCTGATGGATCAGGGCGACCTTTGATGGACCAGGGTGAACTCTGATGGACCAGGGTGACCTCTGATGGAGCAGGGTGACCTCTGATGGAACAGAGTGACCTCTGATGGAGCAGGGTGACCTCTGATGGAACAGAGTGACCTCTGATGGAGCAGGGCGACCTCTGATGGAACAGGGTGACCTTTGATGGATCAGGGTGACCTCTGATGGAACAGGGTGACCTCTGATGGAACAGAGTGACCTCTGATGGATCAGGGTGACCTCTGATGGAACAGAGTGACCTCTGATGGATCAGGGTGACCTCTGATGGAGCAGGGTGACCTCTGATGGAACAGGGTGACCTCTGATGGAGCAGGGTGACCTCTGATGGAACAGGGTAACCTCTGATGGAGCAGGGCGACCTCTGATAGACCAGGGTGACCTCTGATGGATCAGGGTGACCTCTGATGGATCAGGGTGACCTCTGAAGGAACAGGGTGACCTCTGATGGAACAGGGTGACCTCTGATGGACCAGGGTGACCTCTGATGGATCAGGGTGACCTCTGATGGATCAGGGTGACCTCTGATGGAGCAGGGCAACCTCTGATAGACCAGGGTGACCTCTGATGGAACAGGGTAACCTCTGATGGATCAGGGTGACCTCTGATGGAACAGGGTGACCTCTGATGTATCAGGGCGACATCTGATGGATCAGGGCGACCTCTGATGGAACAGGGTGACCTCTGATGGACCAGGGTGACCTCTGATGGAACAGGGTGACCTCTGATGGATCAGAGTGACCTCTGATGGATCAGAGTGACCTCTGATGGATCAGGGTGACCTCTGATGGAACAGAGTGACCTCTGATGGAGCAGGGCAACCTCTGATGGAACAGGGTGACCTCTGATGGATCAGGGTGACCTCTGATGGAACAGGGTGACCTCTGATGTATCAGGGCGACATCTGATGGATCAGGGTGACCTCTGATGGAACAGGGTGACCTCTGATGGACCAGGGTGACCTCTGATGGAACAGGGTGACCTCTGATGGATCAGAGTGACCTCTGATGGATCAGAGTGACCTCTGATGGACCAGGGTGACCTCTGATGGAGCAGGGTGACCTCTGATGGAACAAGGTGACCTCTGATGGACCAGGGCGACCTCTGATAGACCAGGGTGACCTCTGATGGACCAGGGTGACCTCTGATGGAGCAGGGTGACCTCTGATGGAACAGGGTGACCTCTGATGGACCAGGGCGACCTCTGATAGACCAGGGTGACCTCTGATGGACCAGGGTGACCTCTGATGGACCAGGGTGACCTCTGATGGAACAAGGTGACCTCTGATGGAGCAGGGTGACCTCTGATGGAACAGGGTGACCTCTGATGGAGCAGGGCGACCTCTGATAGACCAGGGTGACCTCTGAAGGAACAGGGTGACCTCTGATGGAACAGGGTGACCTCTGATGGAACAGAGTGACCTCTGATGGAGCAGGGTGACCTCTGAAGGAACAGGGTGACCTTTGATGGAACAGGGTGACCTCTGATGGATCAGGGTGACCTTTGATGGAACAGGGTGACCTCTGATGGATCAGGGTGACCTCTGATGGAGCAGGGCGACCTCTGATGGATCAGGGTAACCTCTGATGGAGCAGGGCGACCTCTGATAGACCAGGGTGACCTCTGATGGATCAGGGTGACCTCTGATGGAACAGGGTGACCTCTGATGGACCAGGGTGACCTCTGATGGATCAGGGTGACCTCTGATGGATCAGGGTGACCTCTGATGGAGCAGGGTGACCTCTGATGGTACTGGGTGACCTCTGATGGATCAGGGTGACCTCTGATGGAACAGGGTGACCTCTGATGTATCAGGGCGACATCTGATGGATCAGGGCGACCTCTGATGGAACAGGGTGACCTCTGATGGACCAGGGTGACCTCTGATGGAACAGGGTGACCTCTGATGGATCAGAGTGACCTCTGATGGACCAGGGTGACCTCTGATGGAACAGGGTAACCTCTGATGGATCAGGGTGACCTCTGATGGAACAGGGTGACCTCTGATGGACCAGGGTGACCTCTGATGGATCAGGGTGACCTCTGATGGATCAGGGTGACCTCTGATGGAGCAGGGTGACCTCTGATGGTACTGGGTGACCTCTGATGGATCAGGGTGACCTCTGATGGAACAGGGTGACCTCTGATGTATCAGGGCGACATCTGATGGATCAGGGCGACCTCTGATGGAACAGGGTGACCTCTGATGGACCAGGGTGACCTCTGATGGAACAGGGTGACCTCTGATGGATCAGAGTGACCTCTGATGGACCAGGGTGACCTCTGATGGAACAGGGCAACCTCTGATGGACCAGGGTGACCTCTGATGGAACAGGGTGACCTCTGATGGAGCAGGGTGACCTCTGATGGAACAGGGTGACCTCTGATGGACCAGGGCGACCTCTGATAGACCAGGGTGACCTCTGATGGACCAGGGTGACCTCTGATGGACCAGGGTGACCTTTGATGGACCAGGGTGACCTTTGATGGAGCAGGGTGACCTGTGATGGAGCAGGGTGACCTCTGATGGAACAGGGTGACCTCTGATGGACCAGGGTGACCTCTGATGGAGCAGGGTGACCTCTGATGGAACAGGGTGACCTCTGATGGACCAGGGTGACCTCTGATGGACCAGGGTGACCTCTGATGGAACAAGGTGACCTCTGATGGAGCAGGGTGACCTCTGATGGAACAGGGTGACCTCTGATGGAGCAGGGCGACCTCTGATAGACCAGGGTGACCTCTGAAGGAACAGGGTGACCTCTGATGGAACAGGGTGACCTCTGATGGAACAGAGTGACCTCTGATGGAGCAGGGCGACCTCTGATGGAACAGGGTGACCTCTGAAGGAACAGGGTGACCTTTGATGGAACAGGGTGACCTCTGATGGATCAGGGTGACCTCTGATGGAGCAGGGCGACCTCTGATGGATCAGGGTGACCTCTGATGGACCAGGGTGACCTCTGATGGAACAGGGTGACCTTTGATGGAACAGGGTGACCTCTGATGGATCAGGGTGACCTCTGATGGAACTGGGTGACCTCTGATGGAACTGGGTGACCTCTGATGGATCAGGGTGACCTCCAATGGATCAGGGTGACCTCTGATAGACCTGGGTGACCTCTGATGGATCAAGGTGACCTCTGATGGATCAGGGTGACCTCTGATGTAAAAGGGTCAGATGGGTCTGTGGCCTAGTCAAAACATGGTCATTACACTTTTTGCTAAAATAACTCTTATGTAATTAGTTTCCATTTGCTCACTTCTGCCCATTTTGAGCTGAAGATGTTTTAGGCTCTCTGTCACTTTAAATCCAAACTAGCTGCTTCTGGCCACGCCCCCAATGCAGCATGTACAGGGAAATGGCTGCAAACACATGTGCAAATGTACAAGAGTGCAAAGCAAAAGAAAAGCCTCCTGAACCACCAACAGGATGCAGCAAGTGGTTCCTGGATGGCAAGTCAAATAAAAGTCTTGTCTATTTCAGCAGCCATTGTACAGCAGAAAAACCAGCTGACAAAACATGCTGGACCTAAGCTTAGGCTGCTAGCTAGCGCGTTGGACATTGCTTATGTTGATAGCTAGATCATGGGCATTGCTTCGGTTGCTAGCTAGCGACTTGGACATTGCTTAAGTTGCTAGCTAGCGCTCTAGGCATTACTTTTGCTGCTAGCTAGTGCGCTGGGCAATGCTTAAGTTGCAAGCTAGCATGCTGGACATTAGTTAGGCATATAGCTAGTGTGCTAATCTTTACTGGTTTTGTTCCATAATGCACTGGGCTTTACTGGGCTGCTAGCTAATACATGTGTTTGGCGTAGAATGCTAGCTAATGCTCTGGGCTTCGTTTAGCCTGCTAGCTAAATAGCTGGGCTTTACCGGGTTGCTAAGTGACATTCAGTGCCTGCTGACTTGTACGCTACATTCTGGAAGGATTGGAAACGGCTCATCTTAAAAACAACAAAAACTTTAACTTCCAGATGAAATGGGCTGGGTTGTGTTTTTAAGTGCCTGGGTTGTTTTTAATAGACGCAGAAACCCAAATGGAAATACATATTGTGATAAATGTGAACTTTGCATAAAGTCCCGTTTAAAGGTGAATTCTCATCAGCTGCAGCCTGACACAGGACTACATGAAACATGCTGTGCAACATTTCTCTGATTTATATTGATGTTTGACAGCATTTTCAGTTACGTTTTTGGGTAAATGCTAATATTTCTGGTTAACAGACATCTTACCTTGGGTCTGACAATCCAGGAGGATTACTGAAGTAAAAAGGAAGATCTATGGATCGGTCACTCTTCATAGAAACGCCGCTGGGTGATGGAGAGGCTGCTCTGTTCTCCTCTGGATTCATCATCAGCTTCCTCTGCTGTGAAGCCCATCTGAGAGGGAACCAGAGACACTCAGTCACCATGGGATTCACTTCCAGTTCACCCAGTTGGCTGCTCTAGAAACTGGCCAGTAGGACAGGAAGACCATCATCTCCTGGTTGAATGAAACACGTCCTGCTGGTTCCTCACTGTCTGCAGAATCTCATCACTTCAATGTGTCCTTGATCTAAAGTTAACATCTGATTGGAAGCTGCTGGCGTCCAGAGAGCCAGGTGACCTCTGATGGACCAGGGTGACCTCTGATGGATCAGGGTGACCTCTGATGGACCAGGGTGAACTCTGATGGACCAGGGTGACCTCTGATGGAGCAGGGTGACCTCTGATGGAACAGAGTGACCTCTGATGGAGCAGGGTGACCTCTGATGGATCAGGGTGACCTCTGAAGGAACAGGGTGACCTCTGATGGAACAGGGTGACCTCTGATGGATCAGTGTGACCTCTGATGGAACAGGGTGACCTTTGATGGAACAGGGTGACCTCTGATGGATCAGGGTGACCTCTGATGGAGCAGGGCGACCTCTGATGGAACAGGGTGACCTCTGATGGATCAGGGTGACCTCTGATGGACCAGGGTGACCTCTGATGGATCAGGGTGACCTCTGATGGAACACGGTGACCTCTGATGGAGCAGGGCGACCTCTGATGGAACAGGGTGACCTCTGATGGATCAGGGTGACCTCTGATGGAACACGGTGACCTCTGATGGAGCAGGGCGACATCTGATGGAACAGGGTGACCTTTGATGGATCAGGGTGACCTCTGATGGAACAGGGTGACCTCTGATGTAAAAGGGTCAGATGGGTCTGTGGCCTAGTCAAAACATGGTCATTACACTTTTTGCTAAAATAACTCTTATGTAATTAGTTTCCATTTGCTCACTTCTGCCCATTTTGAGCTGAAGATGTTTTAGGGTCTCTGTCACTTTAAATCCAAACTAGCTGCTTCTGGCCACGCCCCCAATGCAGCATGTACAGGGAAATGGCTGCAAACACATGTGCAAATGTACAAGAGTGCAAAGCAAAAGAAAAGCCTCCTGAACCACCAACAGGATGCAGCAAGTGGTTCCTGGATGGCAAGTCAAATAAAAGTCTTGTCTATTTCAGCAGCCATTGTACAGCAGAAAAACCAGCTGACAAAACATGCTGGACCTAAGCTTAGGCTGCTAGCTAGCGCGTTGGACATTGCTTATGTTGATAGCTAGATCATGGGCATTGCTTCGGTTGCTAGCTAGCGACTTGGACATTGCTTAAGTTGCTAGCTAGCGCTCTAGGCATTACTTTTGCTGCTAGCTAGTGCGCTGGGCAATGCTTAAGTTGCAAGCTAGCATGCTGGACATTAGTTAGGCATATAGCTAGTGTGCTAATCTTTACTGGTTTTGTTCCATAATGCACTGGGCTTTACTGGGCTGCTAGCTAATACATGTGTTTGGCGTAGAATGCTAGCTAATGCTCTGGGCTTCGTTTAGCCTGCTAGCTAAATAGCTGGGCTTTACCGGGTTGCTAAGTGACATTCAGTGCCTGCTGACTTGTACGCTACATTCTGGAAGGATTGGAAACGGCTCATCTTAAAAACAACAAAAACTTTAACTTCCAGATGAAATGGGCTGGGTTGTGTTTTTAAGTGCCTGGGTTGTTTTTAATAGACGCAGAAACCCAAATGGAAATACATATTGTGATAAATGTGAACTTTGCATAAAGTCCCGTTTAAAGGTGAATTCTCAGCAGCAGCCTGACACAGGACTACATGAAACATGCAGTGCAACATTTCTCTGATTTATATTGATGTTTGACAGCATTTTCAGTTACGTTTTTGGGTTAATGCTAATATTTCTGGTTAACAGACGTCTTACCTTGGGTCTGAGAATCCAGGAGGATTACTGAAGTAAAAAGGAAGATCTATGGATCGGTCACTCTTCATAGAAACGCCGCTGGGTGATGGAGAGGCTGCTCTGTTCTCCTCTGGATTCATCATCAGCTTCCTCTGCTGTGAAGCCCATCTGAGAGGGAACCAGAGACACTCAGTCACCATGGGATTCACTTCCAGTTCACCCAGTTGGCTGCTCTAGAAACTGGCCAGTAGGACAGGAAGACCATCATCTCCTGGTTGAATGAAACACGTCCTGCTGGTTCCTCACTGTCTGCAGAATCTCATCACTTCAATGTGTCCTTGATCTAAAGTTAACATCTGATTGGAAGCTGCTGGCGTCCAGAGAGCCAGGTGACCTCTGATGGACCAGGGTGACCTCTGATGGAACAAGGTGACCTCTGATGGAGCAGGGTGACCTCTGATGGAACAGGGTGACCTCTGATGGAGCAGGGCGACCTCTGATAGACCAGGGTGACCTCTGATGGATCAGGGTGACCTCTGAAGGAACAGGGTGACCTCTGATGGAACAGGGTGACCTCTGATGGATCAGTGTGACCTCTGATGGAACAGGGTGACCTTTGATGGAACAGGGTGACCTCTGATGGATCAGGGTGACCTCTGATGGAGCAGGGCGACCTCTGATGGAACAGGGTGACCTCTGATGGATCAGGGTGACCTCTGATGGACCAGGGTGACCTCTGATGGAACAAGGTGACCTCTGATGGAGCAGGGTGACCTCTGATGGAACAAGGTGACCTCTGATGGATCAGGGTGACCTCTGAAGGAACAGGGTGACCTCTGATGGAACAGGGTGACCTCTGATGGATCAGTGTGACCTCTGATGGAACAGGGTGACCTTTGATGGAACAGGGTGACCTCTGATGGATCAGGGTGACCTCTGATGGAGCAGGGCGACCTCTGATGGAACAGGGTGACCTCTGATGGATCAGGGTGACCTCTGATGGACCAGGGTGACCTCTGATGGAACAGGGTGACCTCTGATGAAGCAGGGCGACTCTGATAGACAAGGGTGACCTCTGATGGACCAGGGTGACCTCTGATGGACCAGGGCAACCTCTGATGGACCAGGGTGACCTCTAATGGAACTGGGTGACCTCTGATGGACCAGGGCGACCTCTGATGGACCAGGGTGACCTCTGATGGAACAAGGTGACCTCTGATGGTACTGGGTGACCTCTGATACTACAGGGTGATCTCTGATGGAACAGGGTGACCTCTGATGCTACTGGGTGACCTCCGATGGATCAAGGTGACCTCTGATGGAACTGGGTGACCTCTGATGGAACAGGGTGACCTCTGATGGATCAGGGTGACCTCTGATGGAACTGGGTGACCTCTGATGGAACTGGGTGACCTCTGATGGAACTGGGTGACCTCTGATGGATCAGGGTGACCTCCAATGGATCAGGATGACCTCTGATAGACCTGGGTGACCTCTGATGGATCAAGGTGACCTCTGATGGATCAGGGTGACCTCTGATGGAACTGGGTGACCTCTGATGGAACTGGGTGACCTCTGATGGAACTGGGTGACCTCTGATGGATCAGGGTGACCTCCAATGGATCAGGGTGACCTCTGATAGACCTGGGTGACCTCTGATGGATCAAGGTGACCTCTGATGGATCAGGGTGACCTCTGATGTAAAAGGGTCAGATGGGTCTGTGGCCTAGTCAAAACATGGTCATTACACTTTTTGCTAAAATAACTCTTATGTAATTAGTTTCCATTTGCTCACTTCTGCCCATTTTGAGCTGAAGATGTTTTAGGGTCTCTGTCACTTTAAATCCAAACTAGCTGCTTCTGGCCACGCCCCCAATGCAGCATGTACAGGGAAATGGCTGCAAACACATGTGCAAATGTACAAGAGTGCAAAGCAAAAGAAAAGCCTCCTGAACCACCAACAGGATGCAGCAAGTGGTTCCTGGATGGCAAGTCAAATAAAAGTCTTGTCTATTTCAGCAGCCATTGTACAGCAGAAAAACCAGCTGACAAAACATGCTGGACCTAAGCTTAGGCTGCTAGCTAGCGCGTTGGACATTGCTTATGTTGATAGCTAGATCATGGGCATTGCTTCGGTTGCTAGCTAGCGACTTGGACATTGCTTAAGTTGCTAGCTAGCGCTCTAGGCATTACTTTTGCTGCTAGCTAGTGCGCTGGGCAATGCTTAAGTTGCAAGCTAGCATGCTGGACATTAGTTAGGCATATAGCTAGTGTGCTAATCTTTACTGGTTTTGTTCCATAATGCACTGGGCTTTACTGGGCTGCTAGCTAATACATGTGTTTGGCGTAGAATGCTAGCTAATGCTCTGGGCTTCGTTTAGCCTGCTAGCTAAATAGCTGGGCTTTACCGGGTTGCTAAGTGACATTCAGTGCCTGCTGACTTGTACGCTACATTCTGGAAGGATTGGAAACGGCTCATCTTAAAAACAACAAAAACTTTAACTTCCAGATGAAATGGGCTGGGTTGTGTTTTTAAGTGCCTGGGTTGTTTTTAATAGACGCAGAAACCCAAATGGAAATACATATTGTGATAAATGTGAACTTTGCATAAAGTCCCGTTTAAAGGTGAATTCTCAGCAGCAGCCTGACACAGGACTACATGAAACGTGCTGTGCAACATTTCTCTGATTTATATTGATGTTTGACAGCATTTTCAGTTACGTTTTTGGGTAAATGCTAATATTTCTGGTTAACAGACATCTTACCTTGGGTCTGAGAATCCAGGAGGATTACTGAAGTAAAAGGAAGATCTATGGATCGGTCACTCTTCATAGAAACGCCGCTGGGTGATGGAGAGGCTGCTCTGTTCTCCTCTGGATTCATCATCAGCTTCCTCTGCTGTGAAGCCCATCTGAGAGGGAACCAGAGACACTCAGTCACCATGGGATTCACTTCCAGTTCACCCAGTTGGCTGCTCTAGAAACTGGCCAGTAGGACAGGAAGACCATCATCTCCTGGTTGAATGAAACACGTCCTGCTGGTTCCTCACTGTCTGCAGAATCTCATCACTTCAATGTGTCCTTGATCTAAAGTTAACATCTGATTGGAAGCTGCTGGCGTCCAGAGAGCCAGGTGACCTCTGATGGACCAGGGTGACCTCTGATGGACCAGGGTGACCTCTGATGGAACAGGGTAACCTCTGATGGAGCAGGGTGACCTTTGATGGAACTGGGTGACCTCTGATGGAACAGGGTGACCTCTGATGGATCAGGGCGACCTTTGATGGACCAGGGTGAACTCTGATGGACCAGGGTGACCTCTGATGGAGCAGGGTGACCTCTGATGGAACAGAGTGACCTCTGATGGAGCAGGGTGACCTCTGATGGAACAGAGTGACCTCTGATGGAGCAGGGCGACCTCTGATGGAACAGGGTGACCTTTGATGGATCAGGGTGACCTCTGATGGAACAGGGTGACCTCTGATGGAACAGAGTGACCTCTGATGGATCAGGGTGACCTCTGATGGAACAGAGTGACCTCTGATGGATCAGGGTGACCTCTGATGGAGCAGGGTGACCTCTGATGGAACAGGGTGACCTCTGATGGAGCAGGGTGACCTCTGATGGAACAGGGTAACCTCTGATGGAGCAGGGCGACCTCTGATAGACCAGGGTGACCTCTGATGGATCAGGGTGACCTCTGATGGATCAGGGTGACCTCTGAAGGAACAGGGTGACCTCTGATGGAACAGGGTGACCTCTGATGGACCAGGGTGACCTCTGATGGATCAGGGTGACCTCTGATGGATCAGGGTGACCTCTGATGGAGCAGGGCAACCTCTGATAGACCAGGGTGACCTCTGATGGAACAGGGTAACCTCTGATGGATCAGGGTGACCTCTGATGGAACAGGGTGACCTCTGATGTATCAGGGCGACATCTGATGGATCAGGGCGACCTCTGATGGAACAGGGTGACCTCTGATGGACCAGGGTGACCTCTGATGGAACAGGGTGACCTCTGATGGATCAGAGTGACCTCTGATGGATCAGAGTGACCTCTGATGGATCAGGGTGACCTCTGATGGAACAGAGTGACCTCTGATGGAGCAGGGCAACCTCTGATGGAACAGGGTGACCTCTGATGGATCAGGGTGACCTCTGATGGAACAGGGTGACCTCTGATGTATCAGGGCGACATCTGATGGATCAGGGTGACCTCTGATGGAACAGGGTGACCTCTGATGGACCAGGGTGACCTCTGATGGAACAGGGTGACCTCTGATGGATCAGAGTGACCTCTGATGGATCAGAGTGACCTCTGATGGACCAGGGTGACCTCTGATGGAGCAGGGTGACCTCTGATGGAACAAGGTGACCTCTGATGGACCAGGGCGACCTCTGATAGACCAGGGTGACCTCTGATGGACCAGGGTGACCTCTGATGGAGCAGGGTGACCTCTGATGGAACAGGTGACCTCTGATGGACCAGGGCGACCTCTGATAGACCAGGGTGACCTCTGATGGACCAGGGTGACCTCTGATGGACCAGGGTGACCTCTGATGGAACAAGGTGACCTCTGATGGAGCAGGGTGACCTCTGATGGAACAGGGTGACCTCTGATGGAGCAGGGCGACCTCTGATAGACCAGGGTGACCTCTGAAGGAACAGGGTGACCTCTGATGGAACAGGGTGACCTCTGATGGAACAGAGTGACCTCTGATGGAGCAGGGTGACCTCTGAAGGAACAGGGTGACCTTTGATGGAACAGGGTGACCTCTGATGGATCAGGGTGACCTTTGATGGAACAGGGTGACCTCTGATGGATCAGGGTGACCTCTGATGGAGCAGGGCGACCTCTGATGGATCAGGGTAACCTCTGATGGAGCAGGGCGACCTCTGATAGACCAGGGTGACCTCTGATGGATCAGGGTGACCTCTGATGGAACAGGGTGACCTCTGATGGACCAGGGTGACCTCTGATGGGTCAGGGTGACCTCTGATGGATCAGGGTGACCTCTGATGGAGCAGGGTGACCTCTGATGGTACTGGGTGACCTCTGATGGATCAGGGTGACCTCTGATGGAACAGGGTGACCTCTGATGTATCAGGGCGACATCTGATGGATCAGGGCGACCTCTGATGGAACAGGGTGACCTCTGATGGACCAGGGTGACCTCTGATGGAACAGGGTGACCTCTGATGGATCAGAGTGACCTCTGATGGACCAGGGTGACC